CATTGATCCATCTGTTGTTGTTAGATTCTCAAGCCCATTGTTGCAGTCACTGTGTTAAACTGTGTTTGAGGGTCTTCTTCTCCTTTGTCAACTGTCTACTCTTCTGAGCATAATGCCCTTCTCTGGGGACAATCCCCCCCATACCCACCCCAATCCCTGCTGCCACTGTGCTCAAAGTATGTAAGGTATCATTTCACAGCCCTTGCCACCGAGGAGCACCTTGATTGCCTTTTCTCCAAGACAGATTTGTTTGTCCTTTTACAACTTTGCAAGTCAAGGTAGAAAAAGTGCAGGAGAGACTCACTCCAGGTTACATGCTAAAAAGCTGAGTCCAGACTCAAGTTGTCCCAACAATCTAAATGATGTGTCCTTTGTACCAAATGATCTCGGGATCAAAAGAACTGTCCACAAAGTTAGGACGGGCATTTCATTTTGAACCTTCTCTGAGTCCCATGGCCTTCTCCTGGAGCCTCCTCCCACTGGATGCTTATGTGAGTTTACCTATTGCCACCTGGTGGTAAATAAAAAACAAAGTGGGAAAGAATGTGTGGAAACAGCTGGAGGTTAACCAGAACGGCTCTCTGGACCTGCAAAAGTGGGGGTCTGTGGCTGAAAAATGGAAACAGAAAAGTCTAACTGCCTTTGGACCACAGGTGCAGGGTGAAGTACCCTGACATCAACTCAGATCATAATAATAACCCTTTAGGGAAAAACTGCTTATTTTCTCTAAACCCAAAATCTTAGGCATAGACAGGGACTGCGACGATAAAGAGCCAAACACTGGCTTGGAAGTGTTCTTTCTCGTGGTTCTTGTCACCAGTGGTGCTGGTGGAGTGTCAAGTGCGAGGCTCTCCAACCACGACAGCTCCAAGTCTCACAACCAGAACAGCTCTGAGGCTTCCCACCAGGACAGCTCCTCTTCCATCCCCTGTCTCTCCCAGCGGGTGAGGAGCTGTGCTGCCAACCCCAAAGCAGGTAGTTCGTATCCACCACCTGCTCTGGGAGGGAGACAGGCGATCTCCCTAAGACACGTGACTTCGGAAAACCCATCGGAGGGTCAGCTGTGTGTCGGTTCCCACTTGATGCGCACGAGGTGTAGTGTTTCCCCCCCTCCCAGGAGATCTTACTCGACACCAGGCCTTCATTGCGGTTCCAGCCCTGCTGAGGGCTTGTCTTCACCCCAGATGTACTGAACCTGCACGTTGACAAGGTCTGGGTGTTGCTCCCAGGCACCCCCTCAGCCGTTACCAGAGCTGTCCTGGGTTCGGCTTTAAGTTGTAGGTTCAGAGGCCGTTGAATGGGATGGAAGCGCAGATTTCTGCCGAGGTTTGAACTGGGATGAAGCAGTTGGAAGCCTGGTTCGAGGTTTTTAAAATATCTGCTCCTCTCACCAATGTGACCCGGATTTGAAGAGGAGACCCAGTAAACCCATTGCTGATGCCCCACCCCTAGCCCCCTGCCTATTCCTGTCGGTTCCTGGGCCCCTCTGGGTGCTGTCTCTCCCACATCAACCCCCCACACCCCGTGTCCTCGGTTCCCTTTCTTTTTGCTGGGCCAGGCAGACAAACCAAAGGGTAGTGGATTTCCTGCAATTACCTGCGGGGATTGACTTTAAGCTCGCCCCTTCTCCATTGCCACACCATGTCTGTCATTGAGTCAGACTGGGGTGACCTGTTTATTGGGTGATGTTTGAAGCTATATCATCTGCATTTCAAATACCAGCAGGGTCACGTATGGTGGGCAGATTTCAGCAGAACTTCTAGACTAAGACAGGCTAGGAAGATAAAGCCCGCTTATCAACTTAGAAAAAGATCATCGGATGAATGGAAACCTCGTTGCTCACAGCAGAGCACAGTGTGGATGGGGCCCTGGCTGGAGGCCCTTTAATGCGCACTGCCGGGCACTGGAGCTGAGCATGCCTCTGTCCGTGGTTGCCCTGACAAGGAACCAGTGCTCTGTCTTGTTGAGCATGGCGGGGGTGGGGTGGTGGGGGTCACCGATGAGAGGAGCCTGGCTAGAGGTCACCAGCAGCCACATCTCTGCTGGGGCTCAGAGGAAGTGGGGGAGCAGGCACGTGGTCTGGGGCTGCCTCCTTCTCTGCCTCTTGTTCCCCTGCTCTCAGCCCCCCCCCCCCATTGCACTGAGGTTGGAATGTAGGTCAGCCCCATTGGCCTCCCCCCAAGAACAAGTGTTTGGTAATCAGCTAGCACCACCCCTCCCTTATGCCTCCAGGAAGGGGCCTGAAGATGTGCCGTGGGAGGGGGCTTCCTGGGGACCAGGGAGGAAAAATGGGGTGGGGGTGGGGTGACAGCAGAGCCACACAGGGGAAGCGTCACCCCCTGAAGAGTAGAAACCTAGTCTCTGGCTTGTTTTTCCTAGCAGGGAGATGAAGTCATTTTAGAAACATGACTCATATTTTGAATTCTGCCCTTTTCTTCCTCCAAATGATTATGAAAAACACATACTTGGAAGATTTTAATAAAATGATGAGTGATATTAGGCCATTACAATTCGTGGTGATTGAGGACAGAAATCTGATCCCTGGATGCAATAGGAAACCAAATGTAGGCTTCAAAGGGCACTGCTGTTAGGAGAGACAAGGACAGGAAGACAAGGACAACAAGCAGTGGGTCTTGTTTACACTGCCCCGCTCTTCCCCTGAGTCAAGGCCATGACTTTAAAGTGCCAAAACACACTGTGGGGACAGGAGGCCGGGGTCGGGGTCGTCCTCCCACTCCAGCTAGTTCCCCCTTTTCACAGAAACTGCTTGTGCTTCTTTTAGCCAGCAAATGTGCACACGTGTGCGCGCACGTGTCTGTGATGTGAGCCTGTGTGAGTGCATTCGAACATGTGCACAGACGTGTGTGGATGTGCACGCGGGTGACTGTGACTTGTCTGCATATGCATGTGTGTGTTAAGTACATGTAAGATGTCGATCTGTGTGTGCGTGTGTGGTGTGTGTTTGTGTATCTCCAAGTGTGTCTACACGTGTGGTGTGTGGTGTGTGCATGTGTATGTGCGCGCACACTGGATCTTTGTTTTTAAACGGCATTCTTGTTTTCCTTCCTTCTCCCGATTGGGCATTACTTCCCACTACTGAGCATGAGGGAGCCCTGGTGGCCTGGTGGTAAGGAGCTGCGCTGCCAACCTTAAGGCATGTGGTTCGAATCCACCCCTGCACCATTCAAGAAAGATGGGTAATGCCTTCCTGTGTGATTTACTGCCTCTGAAAATACACTGGAGAGTCACCTATGGGTAGGTGCCGACTTGATGGCACACAACCACCACCACCACCACCACTGAACGTGAGGATTTCCCCCCTCTTCGCTCCCACCCCCAGGACATGCCTCCAGCATTCCTGGCATTGTCACGATGCTGGCGGATCCCCGTCCAGTTTTCAATGTTGGCACAGCGTACACTCCCACTGGGGACCAGGTGTAAACCACACTGACTTCTTTCCTCTACAAACTTTGGTTTTCTGTTAATCATTGCCTTCTTTTCTGTTTGCTGTTTTTCTCCTAAACCCTTCATCTCTGGTGTAAGAAATTCCAATATGTAAGTTCCCCAAGAGCCTTCCCCGGAGGGGCCTGTCTACTTGACCTGTCCCTGTGGTCTCTCTACCCCTACGATGGCCTTGCAGATCACCCTGTCCTGCACTGAATCCCTCACACTCACCTCACGTTTGACACCCTTGTCACCCAACACTTCACCTTAATGACTGCGGTAAAGGATCTGCTATCCACGATTTTGTGCCTTGATGACACTTGCCTGGTAGCGACAGTAACAAACGCCGAGGTGTGAAGAGGGAGTGACGTGGTTGTGACGGTTCTAGCCATGTGCCTGCTTCCAGATGTGGTTCTCAGGACTTCTCCGATGAGCTCATGACCGCATCATTCTCCCTTCTACGAGCTGATGTGGCCATCTTCCATCTTCACATAATGACCTGGTCTTTGGAATCTGATGCTATTGGTAAATGAGGAGAGGGTGTTACCTGCACCATATGGGTGGTGGTATTGTTGGGTGCCTCTGCGCTGAGTAGGCTCATGGTGCGATAGTTACTTATGTGTGCCCACTTGGCAAGGCTAGGGTGCCCAGTTGTTTCAAAGCCACAAAGTCAAAGTTATTGTATTGAGTTGAAACAAACTCATGGATGACGCTCCAAGGCTTAGCAGAGGCTGTAAATCACGTGGAAGATTGCTCATCTCGCGCAGCAGCGTGTGGATTTGAACTCGCAGAGAGGCTTCCCACTTCAGCCAGCAGCACCGCTTTCCGCAGTCTGCACCACCAGAATCCTCTCCTCAGCTGCTTAGGCAGATACTGATCCAGGTGTTGGTGGGAAAGACTCTCTTAGATATGATTAACATTACGGTGAGCTGACTCTAAGCCAAGAATACTGCTCTCAATGTGGGTTGGCCTCAACTAATCAGTTTAAGGGCTTAAAAGCAAAAATTAAAGTTGCCTTGAGAAGAATTTTGCCTTAAGGCAACGCAGACACCTTGCTTGAGTTTTCAGCCTGCTTTTTCCCCTATGGATTTCAGATTTCCTAGCCTCCATAATGGCCTGAACCAATCCCACTATCACCAATCTCTCTCTCATTATCTTCTTTCCTTCTTTCTTTCCTTCCTTCCTCTCCTCTCCTCTCCTCTCCTCTCCTCTCTTCTCCTCTCCCCCCCTCTCTCCCTCCCTCCT